TTTTTATTTTAAGTTTATTTTAGTGATGTCTTTTGCTCTTGTTGCTGACAGCAGAATTTCACCTGCTGGAATCTATTTTGGCCTGTATCTTTGTGTATTTTTTTTATATATATATATATATATAAACTTTTTTCTACAATAGGCCTCTTTGGGCTTACCCAACCCAGTTGGATAAGCTTAGAGAGACACTAACTGTTATAGATACTGTATTTCTGTTTAACGCTTTAGAGCAATATATGGCTGCTGTCAGCACTAGCTGCAAAGCAAAATGCAAACCAAGGGGGAAATCTTGGGTTTCAGAAAAGCAGAAAGCAAAGCATCCATGTTCCATATGCTTTTGATGCCGCACCTCGTTTTTTCTTTCTAATTTTTTTATTGCTCTACCCTTAGCTAATCTCAAGAATGGCACAATTTATGTACTGCATGTGTTCTTACCTTTCCTGGGATTTGGTTGTTACACCAGCAGCCAGTGGTTGATGGCATGAACCAGCCTCTGCGTTCTGTGAAATTAACCACTATTTTGCCACTCTCGGCAGTTATCAGCAGCTACAACCTAAGTGCAGTGGTTCTCAAAGTGGGATTTCAAGAAGTGGTTTAGTCCTGGGGCTTTGCCTCATTTCCTGCCTCTCCTACAGGCAGCAGACGCTCCCCCACGGCCTTTTTAAAAGCTGCTGGATTCAGCTGAGCTGCTGTCATCGAGGGCTGCAGGCAGATAAAAGGGAATGAGCCACCCTTGGGGATCTGGAGCAGCTAGCAATGTCTTGGGCAAAAAGAGAGACTGAAAAGTATTGCATAGATTTTTTTATTTAAGAGAAAAATAGCAGGAAATGTAAGAAATAAAATAGATTAAGGGACATGATAGCAAGCAGCGTACTCAGTGTGAGCAACACTTCTGTAGTTGCCAGAGGTTGTTGTGTTTGGAAGGAGTAACATCTGTTATGTGCTTTTTCTAAGGTGTGGAAAACTTGAGAACCCCTGATCTAGGTTGTTAGTTTCTGAAGCTTCTCATTCATCCATGGAGTGGTAAAATTTTTTCATGCTTTAACAGCTACATTTCAAAGACAACTTTCTTATTTTCCCCGGAAAATATTCCCTAATGAGAAGATGGGCTGAGGGATGGGAGGAAGTTGCTTTGCAGCTTTGGGGAGCAGGGACATAACAGGTTTTCCTTGGGAACCTAGTCTGGATCAAAGATAGGAGCAGCAAAGTTGCTTGACTTTAATCTGCTGTCCCACAAGTGTTTTGTTTTTAATCATGTGGCACAGTTATCTCTGTGACTATACTAGCACCTTCTTTTTTTTTTCCATTTCCTGGTAGGTGGGTTAGGAATAAAGTCAAATTAAAAGGTAGTTAACAAGCTTCAGTTTGTAAGTTGCATGTGTGAAACCAAGACGAGGCATTCATTGCCTAATGACAGGAAATATCCATTGCAATTTTCTCAGATTGACCTTTTTTTTTTTTGAGAATTTAACACAAGTCTCGGTTATCTGAAACCCCTGCTTGAACCCTTGGTCCGCCCCTAATACTGTTCATCATCCTGTTTTGTGTCACAACACCCTGCTACCTTGATTCACTCTTCGTCGTTGGCTAGGTTTTGGATTTATTACTTTCGAGGACGAACAATCAGTGGACCAGGCTGTCAACATGCATTTTCACGACATCATGGGCAAAAAAGTGTGTAGTTGTAGTTTTATTTTACCTTAAGAAAGAACCAAGTCTTGGGCAACTAACAATTTCACTGGTGAATAAAACTTACTGATGCAGTTAGGTGGGTGTACGTCCAAATTCGAGGCTTTATCCATGAAGGTGGGGAAAGTCTTTTGAGTTTGCTTAAATGAGCGAGAAAGGTTGTGGCTTAGCCTGCAGAAGAGAGACTCATCTTGAAAGCCTGAGAATTTAGGCTGTGGGCTGTTGTGTTTTGGGTGAGGCCTTGTGCTGACAGACCTGGGGGGCTGCTCTGTCTGAGCGCTGCGCTGATTTGGGGGTGTGAATACCTTTGTTTTGAGTGCTGCTTAGGTGCAAGGATTGAAGTTAGTTTGTTTCCAGCTGTTTTAAAAATCAGAATCCCAATGAAATCTGAGTTGTTCAAGGCTTGGTTTAAGATACCACTCCTTCAGATGTGTAGTTGATACTCAAAATTCTGAGGTGGTCTGAGACAATCTACTTTATATAATCTTAAACTTAAAAAAAGAAGAAGAAAAAAAAAACATCATGAAGGATTGGTTTTTTAAAAAAAATTGGGTCACTTACTGTGAAACTTTGATACAAACCCACATACTCTATATAGTATTTAACCACAATGCAGTCAAGTGACCTCTGGTTGTTTCATCTTCATACTGTGTTGTCAGCAAATGGGTGTTTGATAGGGAGGAATTTTTTTAGGTTTGCTTTGATGTTACTCAGCAAGGAACATGCTTGTACCTGTGGAAAAAAAAAAACCAACCTAAAAGCAAAGTTAATTGTTGCAGGATACCCAAGTTTTATACAGAAAAAATAATAACTTCTTAATGAAAAATTAACCACAGGAAATTCTGGTAAATTTAAAATCCTTGCAGCTTTACATTATAGCCAGTTTTTTAAAAATAAGCATTAAAAGTGCTAACCTTAGAGGAAAGAGGTTTCAAGGAAATGCAAGAACAGTGTCACTTTCCTGAAATTATCACATTCTATAATTTTGCATTGCCTTTTAAAGTCTCTCCATGTGCTGATATTTCATAAGCATTTATTTAGCTAGCAAGGGATATATTCTTGCATTTCAGTGGAATTTTGGTTAATTATGCAGTATATAATGCTCTTTATTCCTATGAGCTTGTTTGGGGGGTCAGGGGGTGGGCTGACTTCCTAATAATGGAACTGAAGGACATGAAGAACTGTGCTTGTGTCATCAAGAGCATTAGTGTGTGTATCCTTGATCACTAGTATTTCCTCTTGTGAGCAGTTGAGCGCTCCCATTCCTGAGCAGATGCACTGACAGCAGTAAATGTACATTGGTATGTGTATGGATTATCTGTATCCTATGTACATCCTCTGACCTTTCCTTGGGATTGCCTTAAAATTACACAGAACACTTAAATGAGAGGTCCTGTCACGAGACAGCTGGGTATGAATGGGGACAGAGGATGGGACATGTGCTGTGGTGGTTCTGGGAAACACCGAGAACCCTGTCTGAGCCTTTGAGGTGTGCTGGTTTTCAGAGTACATCTCTGCTAATTCAGAGTTCTCTGTTGCTTCCCAAACAATCTCAAAATGAAATAATCTATTTTTGCTAATTTTTTTTTTCTCCTTTCAATGACATAAAAAGCAGCAATATGCAGTGGTGTTTTTTTTTTTTTTCAGCTAGAAGCCATGGAGATACCTCATTTCTTGGTGTAAAAACCAGGCTTTAGGCAGGTGTAGGATTTTAACCTCGGTGCTAGGAATATTGCACAGGGATTTTTTCAATCCTCAGCTTGGCAGTTCAGCACTTCCAAATGTGCACTGAAAAATTAATGTGTTTCTTCCACACAGATTAATGAACGCCAGATACTCCCCTCTCTTCATTGACTAATAATGCCTGATTTAAAAATGGTAGCTCTTTTTTTCTTTTCTTTTCTTTTTTTTGGTAATTAAAAAGGTATTGCTGAAATGAATCCATATGTTGTTGAAAGGAAAAAAAAAATTAAAATTGCAAGAAGGACTCTGCTTTTGTAAGCAATAACTGAATTCCCTCAAGGCAAATGTGTTAAGACTCATTAATTTGAGTCCTTTGAAAAATTCCCTTGGTTCCTCTCTGGAAGGGCCTTCAGCTGACAGAGATTTGGTTACTGTCATGTCTCATGTCCTTGGGGCATCTGCAGTGGGCTGGGGGCGGGGGGCTTTGTCCTTGCCTTGTGCCTGTTTCCTGTTTGTTCTCTGACATGAATGGTTTTTAAGACATGGCAGGAAGAATTCTGAATACTTTATTTTCCATACTACTCAGGCCCATTGATGATTGAGATTTATTTTCTTTGTACTCTGGCACCCATTAAAATTAATCATAAAATAAAAAAGACTTTAATTCAGCATGCATGAGTGCTGAGAGTGTTTCATTAAATCAGAAACTGGATTTTTTTTTTGAGAGAGAGAGAGGTTTATATTGAATGTGCAGCTTATTTTAAGTAGGTCAAATGCCCTTATTCGATGGCTTGGAACACTAGGACGTTTTATCTTTGAACAAAATAAGTTAAGCACTGTGGCTTACTAATTTTAAAAAACAGGAGGGCTTTTGTCACTGACTTAACACAGTATGAAGATTTGCTTCTTATTGACTCAACTGTCCATTTTTATTACTTGCATGTTTGTTTACTTTTTTGTTAGATGTAATGTAAGATTCTCTTATCACATCCATTCCCTCTGACATTGTTTGAGTTAATTGAGATTCTTTAAGCGTTAGCCTGGGGAAGGTAAGTCTTTATCTTCCATTAGACATTTAAATAAAATCTTTTTAAGTTTTAAAAACAAACAAACAAACAACAAAAAAAAAACAACCAAACAAACAAATGTGTGTTTCTCAGGTATGAGCAGAGCTGAAATTGTAGTTAGATGGGGTGGGTTTAAACTGTAACTTCCAAATGAACCCCGAACCTGTTGGAATGGTTAAAGCATTAGTACCCTTTTTCAGAGCGTTCTCTTTACTCCCAAGTTTGTTTGTTTTTTTTTTTTTGCTGAAAAGGTCATCTTTGTTACTCCTGCTTTAAATGTTAAATGAGTATATAAAGAATTTAAAAGATTATGCTTTGTTTTTTAAGTGAAGAGCCGTTGTAAGAGGGTACTGCTGTTTTAAGATTAAAGCCAATGAATACTGTACTGTGATGAAACAGAAGTGATTTGTAGGATGTGTTTTACCTGAAATACCTCAACAGTAGGACTTGTAATGTCTTACCATCATATATACTGTACCTGAGAAACATTTTAAATTACTGGCCTTAAGTTTAATAATTTAAGTATTTAGACATAAGTCATAAGATGCTAAGTGTAGTCTTAAGTGTAATTAAGGGTGTGTGTGAAGGGAAGGGGGGTGTATTAACCTGCACCATCTCTCCTAAGTGGTGACTCTGTTTGTTTAGGTGGAGGTGAAACGCGCAGAACCTCGCGATAGCAAAAGCCAAACCCCTGGGCCGCCCGGTGCCAGTCAGTGGGGAAGCAGGATCATGCCAAGTGCTGCCAATGGCTGGGCAGGTCAGCCTCCTCCGACCTGGCAACAAGGATATGGCCCTCAAGGTCAGTCTTGCCCTCAAAGCTTACTGGTAATTTGGTTTTACTGGTAAATACCAGCATTCCTGGGTTTATTATGGATAGGAGAACTAAAATTCCACACGTCAGTCCTTGACAGATCTGCTGAGATTGTTCCTTCACTTCCTTTCCCAAAAAGCTTCGTTTCATAGACCTGAAGTCAGTGGGTTGTACTGAGTCTAGTGCATGTCCCAGGCAGCACTTCACCTTTCTCGTTGGTTCTGCCTCTCCCCAGATAGGATCAGCGTGGGTTGGGGGAGGTGTTGAGAAAGTTCCACAGCTCAAGTTGTGACTCCAACTGTGGGATCGTGGCCTGTGTGAGACACTATTGAAAAATATTGTTGAAATATGGGCTTTCAAGGATGAGGCAGTTTCAAAGGAAGTTATAAGTAAAATTTGAAAGGGATGAGAGAAAAACAGATGGTCTTGTCTTTGGATTTTATTGCTTAATGTAGCCTGGAAAAATAACAAGCAGCTATGGGGCTAGCCGTGGTGCAGGGGAGCACTTACTGCATATAATTTTCTTGATTTAGCTTGAACCCTTCAGGGCTGAAAGGAGCAGCCGTGTGTTTTGGGTTTGATGGCTATAACCCCCACAAGATTTTGAAGACAGGATAAATATGCTGAGTTCATCCAAAGACAGTTTTGATAACTCATGGAGAAATACGGTGATATAATTGAGTTACGTTTGACAGAACAGAACTTGCTTGCTCTGATAGATGAGAAATTTTCACCTGGGGGGCTAAAGGCAGTGTCACTGCTTCAATCTATTGCTACAATAGATGATACCTCAGTGGAGGGATTGCTTGTTTCCCCATGGTGCTTATTAACTTGAAAGCTGCAGCTGAGGCTTTGACATTCTGCACAGATGTGCTAATCTGCAACTGCACAAATTGAGAAACTAGATTATTTTCAGTGTGGTTATTTGTAGAGAAAATGATATCTGATCTACTGGAAAGATTAATGTACAACATAAATGCATTTATCTTTCATTCTTAGTACTGCAACAAATGCAGAAGATGATGGTTTTTATGGTTCAAAAACTTCAAAAATAACTAGGATAAACCTGGTAGTGGATTAAAAAATGCTTTGGATGTGTAGTCTGCTGTGATTTTTCAGTGGTTTTGTTCTTTAGTATAGTTTTCTGCACTTGATATGCTCACAGTTCTAGCTCCTTCTGATTTGAATCTGGGGACTGCTGTCTCTTCTGTGCATTATTTGCTGAATGATTCAGAGTCTTCAGAATTGCATATTCAGAAATAGTCCCAGGTTATTTCTTGGGCCATAAAAACAGATCTGTAAGGGACACTGGGAGGATGCTCAATCTGTTCCAGAGCCCAGAGCGAGATCAACTTTCTTTAAATCTCCCCTGTTTCATAGTGTGCAGCTTCAATGTGTGTATAAGTTGTTTTTTGTTCTGTTGTAGGGATGTGGGTGCCAGCTGGACAGGCAATTGGTAAGTACGTTATATGGGACCAATTTTAAACGAAAAATCCTACTGAGCAAGGGTGCAGTTTCTTTAAGAATTCACAGTGATTTGTGGATTTCTGTAGTATTTAACCTACATTTAGAAGCTTGATTTAATTTGCCCTGAAAGAACGAAGGAGAAGATAGCATATTCTTAACAAATCAGTAATGGGAGCTGACATACATCCTGCTGTTGCCAACCACACTAATTTGTTATCAAGGCATTACATTCTAAACTGCAATTATTTACAGTAGGGGTACTTGGAGGACAAATATTTCCCCAAGTAAGAATTCATAGAAGGCTGAGACTGCATCTGAAATCTCTCAAACAGATTTACCCCATCTAGAGGATGCTGATTTAAGCAACAACTTCTCATTATTAAGCTGCTTTAGTTCTTGGTTTCTCTTTGTTTTCTAGGTGGATATGGACCACCTCCTCCAGGAAGAGGAGCTCCTCCACCACCACCACCATTTACCTCATACATAGTCTCTACACCTCCTGGAGGATTCCCACCTCCACAAGGATTTCCACAGGGCTATGGCACCCCTCCACCATTTAGTAAGTGACCTATGGGAGATTGAGTACAATCCATCACCAGATTCAGTTTTCAGCTTTTGCTCGTCTTTCTCTGGATTTGGATTTTTATTTTTTTTCCTTATGTTTCATCTATCCTTAGATGTTTTGCCTAGGTTGTGTATTCTGAGCTTTAATTAACTAGAGAAGTATTTTTGTCAGTGAGTTGGGTTACTTTCTTCTTGGGCACAGTAATCATTTGTTATGTTCTCCAGTCTAAATCTGTGTACCCCTAAACAGACTTGGATTTATTGTGTACCCCTGTTAGGACAGCTCTGAGAGAAGTTAGAGATTACTGCCTGCTGACCTGGGCTAGGCACAGGCTGGGATTTTCGGAGAGGCTTAAGGAATTAAGGTCGCAACTGGCATTGGAATTGTCGATAGGATTTTAGCACCTGCCCTCAGGCCACCTTTTGAAAAGTCCAGTCACAAACCAAGTTAAAAAAGAAGGCAGAAAAGACTACCCAGTTATCTCGAGTCACTTGTTCTGCTATGGAGAAGCCATTTGTTTGAGAGATCTTTTTTCCTCCTGAGATCTTGTCACGTCTCTCACTTCACATGTGAGTGCCCAGGGTTTGGTCCCTGGTTTATCACTTTCTCCTTGCTGATGGCTGCTGTGGCTGCAGTCTTCGTTTGAGGTGTGATTTTTCATGTTAGAAGGTTTATTGTTGGGGTCTTTTGGCTACAGTGGTAGCCAGAGTGTAGGAGTGAATGACTGTGTGGCCACTGTAGGTAACAAACACTTTGTTTCAATAGAGTTATAAGTATTTTTTTTTAAATTGTTCATAATCTAATGCCAAGCAAGAAGTCAGGGTGGTGTTTACTCGTGTTTTTTTCCACATGTATTGTACTTTTCTCCTGTTTCAGGTTTTGGTTATGGTGCTCCACCTCCTCCACCTGACCAGTTTGCCCCACCTGGAGTACCCCCTCCACCTGCCACTCCAGGGGCAACACCACTAGCTTTTCCACCACCACCACCACCATCTCAGGCAACTCAGGACATGAGCAAACCCCCAACTGCTCAGCCAGAATTCCCTTATAGTCAGTTTGGTAAGTAACTGCATATAAAATAAATTCAGCTTGATCCTTCTCCCCTCCTGTTTTTCTTTTATACTTGGGTAGAAAGTCAGTGTTCAGAAACAGTTTGCTAACCCTGAAGGCACTTCTCTCCAGGATGGGAGAGCCATCAGCTCCCAAAGGATCCTTAAAGCATGCAGTGTTCTAGCCAGAGGGTATTTTCTTAATCAACTCTAAAACTTTGCTTGTATGCTGTGAAATAGTCTTGAGAGACTTGTGCACTGGTAGGATAAGTGACTGATTTGCACTCTCCCTGAATCTGTAGTTAAAACTTTTTTTTTTCTCAATAGCTTCATGGAGCTTGTAGGCAACTTTTTTTGTGTGTTTTGCCTTTGATCAGATTGAGAATAGACTTGAAGAGTAAGAACAGCATCAGGAGGCAAGCGGTGCGGGGTGTAAGCATCCACACTGCCTGCCTTTTCCTCCCTTCACCCCATTCCTTTCCTGTCCAGCTGTGGAAGACAGAGGGAGTTCTCATCCTGCTCTTCCACTCAGCCCTGGTTTTGAGCAGCATTCTCCAAAGAGCTCTTTGTGGCATACTGCTTTATTTATTTTTAATTTTTGCAGGGATTGTAACTGATTGTTTTTTTACTTCTGAAGTGAACTTTTTGCATGCAGTAGGCCCATGGATTGAGGGTGCTGTTCCCTGCTTGAACACGTTCTCCATGCCTGCTTCATTTGAAGTGCCTGCAGAAACTGTTAGGGAATGAACACTTTGTATAAAGTTATTTAAATAGATACTATTCAGAGTTACAAAAATGTAAAACAGTCTCTGAAGGAAGATTAGCCTTTTGGGTTTATTTATAAAGCAAGCATGTGTTCTCATGTTGATGAATTTTGGAATGTTTTTCAATTTGTTTGTTATAAACACAGTTGCTTTCATAGATTTGCCCTTGTGATTCAAGAGGAAGCTTTTCCTGTCTTGCCAGAACTTGTCTCTTTGCAGACTCTTTTTGAAGGGGGATGGACCCTACTAAATAAAGTCTAAATCTGTGCACAGTAATTTACATTCAGTGGAGAGACAGAATTTGGGATGTGTTGGAAGTTTAGGAAGAATCTGTTTTCCAACATTGCAAAAAAACTGGGGGATTCCAGTATTTGGTGTGTATAGTACCACTTACCTCTTGTATATTTTAGGAAGCCTCTTTGCCAGTGAAATATTTCAGGTGTTGTTAGTCTCTTAAGAGTGCTGGGTAGGGAGGGAGGAAGAGGTGTGTGTAGTACTGTATTTTGAGGAAGAAGGCTAAGAAAGTTCATTGTTAAAACCACAGCTGCAGTTAGTTGTGCCTCCAGAGTGCTTTTCTAGCCTGAAAGCTGTTAGGGGTACAAGTGCTAACAGGGATGGAGGTATTTCGTGTGCTCCAGCACCACAGAATCATCCACCTGTTCCTAAAGCTACATGTGAAATCGCTTAAAACTCTTTTTAAAGAGCTTCAGCATTTCACGTGATCGCAAATGAGCGAGCAGCATTGCTGTGCAATAGCCAGTCTAGCTGATCTGCATGTATTTACATAAATGCATAAAGCTCACGGGCTTTACAGAGGCACTGAGTTATCTAATCATTGTGGCATTTTAAGATTTGTCCTGGCTTGACAGCATCTTAAATGCTGCTATGTTTACAGCTAGGATGAATGTAAACACTAGTAAATTTAAACGCTAACGTGGGTGTGTCTCCCTCACCCTGAAAAATTATCTCTGTACAGGGCTCTCTTGGGGTTCGTCACCCTGGTCTCCTCATTTCTTACTAGGGCTGGGTTCCTATTCTCAAGACCCTTCAGGCTACGCGCCAATACTTTGTTTACACTCTTATGGTCAGGCTGAGCAGTGAGAAGCCTAGGTAGGTGGTGCCTATTTACAACCAATGCTCTTGATATATCTTATCTGCCTTTGGGAAATTAACTTGTGTCTTTCTTGCAGGGTCTCTTTTTAAGAGGGTGGGGGGGGAACAATGCTGCTCAAAATGTGTATTTTTTGTGAGTAAGGGCAATGCAGTTTGTTATGTTTATCAGCTGGCTGAAGTGAAAACTCCCAGCTGAAGGATGAATGACGCTGCTGTTGTCTCCCCAAGCTGCTGCGTTGGCGAGGCTTTATCCTGTGTGATCGAACTGAGCTCAGGTTCTTCAGCAGGCCACTAAAGCCACCGTGGTTG